ATTAAAAATAAACTATATGATATAATACAAATATATGATGATGATTCTTCTGAATCTTCCACTGATACTAAATGGTAGGACAAATAGAAGATGAAGATTATTTCATGTTCTCAACAGAACAATCTGAATCTGAACAGAATATAGAAGAATGTTCCTGTAATATGCTATCTAAAGAAGATACATTAATATTAGACCTTATAGAAAAAATAAATGATCCAGAAGAAAAGAGAGAAATTATTACCCAATTTATCATATTAACAAAAGCAAAAAATAAACCAGTTCCATTACTAAAACCACCAGAGGATTACAATTTTGCTGAAATACTCAACGAATTAATAAAAAAGATATACTTCAAAGAGAACCCACAATATCTGAATTAAAAAAAGAAGTAAATGAAATAAAAACAGAAGTAGGAAGATTAAAAACTAGAATCGTGATCATACGATGAACTTTGAACGGTGATGAGCATAGACGAAATTACTGTTCATTTTCTCTTATAACCGTTGGAAAGACTTTTTCATTCCGATTTATAGAGAAAAAATGAAAATGAAATACTACCAAATAATGGTGACTATACGATTAACTTTAGATGGTGATGAGCATAGAAGATGAACTAGCATATGAACTTTGAATGATGATGAGCATAAGCGATGAACTAGCATAAGCTGTTCATTTTCACCTATAAACATTGGGACAACTTTTCTATATATATTAAAAGCACATGCATAAGCGCTTCATTTTCACCTATAAACATTAGGACGACTTTTCTATATATAGTGAATACTCACGCTCTTATACCGCGTTGTTAGGCTGACTCCTTCGAGTCGGAAAATCATGCAAATAAGCAACTAAGAAATAAAACACTGGATCCGAGACTTGACTAGTTTTAAAATTATTTTTATTTTTATGTTTTCATCAAAGACCACTTTGTATTTGTTTGCTTTTATCATAAAGGACACTTGTTGTTTCATGGGTTTTTCATGGTAATAACTCATAACTAAATTATTTTGTCTTATGCATGTTCTGTTATTTTTCTTTCCCTTTCGGTGTTGTAAGTTCAACACACATATAATCCTCCAGTTGTATAGTAGTGCACCATTTGATGGGACGCTGATGAAATATATGTATTTCGTCATATAGATGATGAAATATCTTATGATGATGGTTAATTTCTAAACAGTAGTTAAATAATAACATGGTATTCTTGTGTTTGCTTCTTTGTTTCTTCCACATGACTTTTATATAACCTTCATTCAAGTAACAAAGCTCAATGGAACACAAATACAAATACATATAAAAAAATTCTTTTTCGGGGTAAATCAACGAAAAAGGTCGGTACCCTATCTATTTTCATTAATACAAAATTAAACTGTATTAAGTACAAAGGGAGATCCCTTCTTGAGGAATATTTGCGAAATCAAAAATTAAAAGAAGATAAAGAAAATCAGGTGGTCTTATTGACTAAATTGTTATATTATGGCTATTGAGGCCATCGAATAAGAAACAAAAAAAAAATTCTTAGATAGAAGCTCTATTCTACTCATTTCTTTTGCTGCTCCTCTTCAAACCTTTTAATATCATTCAAACCTTTGCATATCATCTGCTCGTTCTAAGGACCTCACTTCCATTGATAACTCACCCCTGGAACACCATGCATACAAGAAAACCATGTAAAATTCAGAAAAGAAATGCAGTAGTCTAAGCATCCAGGACAAGAAAAAGAAAAACACGAGTCTAACGGGGGGGTCAAGGTGTGGTCAGGGTCTGATCACCATTCATTTAAAGAATGAAAATGAAAGATTCAAGGCCAAAATAAAATAAATACATAAGTCTAAGTACCAAGAACCAAAAATTAAAGAAATAATTTAGTCTAAGCACTACTGATTCAAGGAACAAATAATTACACAAGTCCCAGCACCATTTATTAATAAAAGAAAGGGAAACATATACAATGACATTATTTACTTTTCATATAAGGAGGTCACAGTCATTGTATAACCGTTGGATTTGAATTCAAGTGGTTGAGATGTCATTGTTCAAGTACAAAGTCCAAAATAAAATTTTTCGAAAGTTGTAACACACTCTCATCTATTAGATTTCACACACACTTTTATCTATTAAATTTCATATCCAATGGCTCAAAATAATTGTGATCTTGTACCGAAAATAAATGATCTCAAAACATACAAATCCCACAATAAATACAAATGCGTGAGATAGATATAAGATATTACACCCTACACCCTAGACCCTAAAATTCACATTTTAAACCCTCTCATACCCCACCTCATCCCTCCGTTCCTCACTGTAGGTGACATTTACCCCTTACCCCCACCATCAAACCAATAAAAGTTTACGCTTACACCCTCCCTCATACCAATTTCTCTTAAGACCCCCAATTCCCAATAAACCTTCATCCAAGCCCCTCAGACCCAAATTCATATTCATGCCAAGTTTTATTAAATCAACTAACTCAAATTAAAGCTACATTCAATCCACTCCGACCCAAAGTCAAAGGATTATTACAATTAATGTATTGTAATAGTTTCATGTATCAAATAATGCCTTCCTTTCTCTAGAACTGCATTCATTTTCATGTTCTCTCTAGAACTGGTATAAAAGTTCAGGAAATGTTGCTTTTTTTCAATTAGAGAGAGAGAGAGTCGTTCAAATTGATTTTCCTAACATGAATACAATAAGTTGAAAACCATCAGAATGGGATATTCCAATGGTGGAAAATCCTCAAATCGATCGATGTATGGATATGTCGAGATGTATGGATAAGAAAAAAAGAAGATGTCAAGTCATGTATGTTCCGGACTATCTATTTTCAAATTTTGTAATTAGTTTTAATTATTTTTAGATTTGCATGATATGGACCATTTTTGGGGCTTTAAATTTCATAATTAGGTGTGACAACATTGCACTTTTTAATAGAGTTTAGAGGTGTTGCTTGTGTTTAAAGTTGATGCTTTATACAACCTTCATCCGTAAAAAAATAAATAAATAAATAAAAAGTTAAGAAGTTTAATGGAGCATTTCTCAAAATAAAAGATAAAAGAAATAAAAAAAAGTACAATAGAAAGCAATAACAAATACATACACATCCCCTACAATAACCAAAAAAACACCAAAGGATTTTGCACTCCTGCAGGAGTATATTGTCCATTTATTGCCTCGGGTAAAACCCGTGATATAGGACCCCAAATTTGGGGGATTTAACCTCTTCACCCGCACAACTAAGCTTAGTAAAAAAACAAAAATTGAATTGAACTCTCTATGTGCTAAAAAAAATATTTATGACCCAAGATTGAAAAGTTAAAAAATCCTTCCTAAGTAGGGCTCCCGAAATTTTGGAGTTAAGAAATCCTTCCAAGTAGATCTATACATTTCGTTCTCACGGAGGAGACCTCTTAAAAACAAAACCTTTCAAAATCTATCATTATGATAAAAAAAGACTATAAAAATGCATCCCATATCACCAAACCCAAATTAAAATCTATCTATATAATAAAAAAAAAACAAACTATTTTGGTACAAGGTAGTCACAATATTAATATTAACCATTAGATAGTTGTATTTATTCCATTGACCATGCACAAACTTCACAAATTTTTTCAAACTTTGTGACACACCAAAACTATCAGATTTCATATCGAATGGTTATAAATAATTGTGACCTCCTTATATCAAAAGTAAATAATCTCATTGTATACAAACGAAAAAAAAAACGATACAAAAAAACTTTCAAAGTAATATCGAATGGTTATAAATAATTGTGCCCTCCTTATATCAAAAGTAAATAATCTCATTGTATACAAACAAAAAAAAAAACGATACAAAAAGACTTTCAAAGTAAGAGCGAAGGAGACGTAGAATTTAAAACCCTGAAAAGTTGAAAAAAAAAAAAAACCATTTTCACTACAATATAACTTGTGAGTGAAGAAAAGAAGCGAGATATATGCCATAAACCTAAAACCCTAAGAAGAGGGATTATACGAAAGAACCCATAACACAAAATTACTTATTAAACCCTAAGAAAAAGGATCACCATCCAGAGTCTCATCAATCAACCCATAACACAAAATTACTAAACACCAAAACCTTCTATTACCAGCCCCTTTCTCATGAAACAGTCGAAAACTAAACCCTAATACTATTAGCTCTCTTAAAAATCAAAATCTCTTTAATCTCAATGAATTTCAGATCACCATCCAGAGTCACAATAAGCTCAATCAATAGCTTCTGCATATCCTCTATGGACCTCCTCCATGGAGGTCCTGTTCCTCTCTTGATGTTACCTTCTTTTTTTCTTTTGTTTTTTTTTTTTGAGGAATTACCTTATTTAGATATTAGATAATCAAATCTTCTGCATTACCTCTATGGACCTGCTCTTATGGATATTACCCTACATACTTGTAGCTCTTATGGATATTACCCTACATAGATACGTAAGAGATAGAGAAACCAAAGATACAAAAACTAACCTTGATGGCACCAGTGGTGCCTGCAACTTATCTTCCATCTCGTCGACTCTAGCCGCAACGGCGGGCTTTTTCTCTTGGGCCTCCACTGACATCAACGGTGCCGCATCAGGAAAAACCCTACTGTGCTGATGGTACCATTGTGAATACTCTGATGAAGACCACAATGATCCAGGAGCATAAGTAGTTGCAGGCAATTGAGGATCAATAGGCTGGTTTAACAGAGGATCGACATGTTGGTTTAACCGAAGATCAATAGGCTGCGTAAAACCACAACAACTTTCATATGGCCTCCTCTCAAGACCAACAGGCTGGGTCGAACCACAACACCTCCTCTCAATCTCATGCTGCCCATACAAACTGCCGCAATGGTGGTGCTTGGCCTGCTGCTCATGGAGTCTAATCTGCATCAGAATCGAATTGAGCGAATCGAGATGCGCCTTAGCCTGTGCGATCTTGTCGTAGAGCCCCAGTACAACGCCATAGGCCCCAAGGATGGGGTCGCGGGCTCGTAGGTCAGCCTCATAGATGATCGTCCTCATCGCCTCTCCCTTCTTTTCATCCGGGCACTCTTTGAGGATCTTAAGAACGCTGCTAACACCAAAGAGCTTGTGTACATGGGCGAACTGCCTGTCGCCCTCTTTGTTAGGGGGGAAGTGGGGGGCCATGACGCACTCAGGGGTGCACTTCCGGCGCTGGTAGCGGCACGAGGCGCAGGCATGGTGCTGGTTTGAGGAGGTAGTCAAAGATGAACACGATGACGACGGAGATGGTGATGAAATCCAATCCATGAGGCCTGATTTTGTGCATACAAATCCTCCGGGTTTCGTGATTCTGTTTTTATAAAGGTTTCATAGAGCAAGAGATAAGTAAGGGTTCGAAAAGAGATAACTCATACTTCTAAATTTGTTGGGATTCAGATTTGGAGAGAAAAGGGGTAAATAGTTACCAAATCTCTAAATTGGTTGGGATCAATTGCCGTACTAAATGGTTAGCAAATCACCGTATTAAACGAGAGTTTTTTTTTTTTCAAACCGTTTTAATGTGCGTATCATTCAAAAGAGCGTAAAAAAAATCCACTTTTTTTCATTTAAAACGTGATTTTTCTATATTTACAATAAATCGTTTCCAAAAATACTTTACTATTAATAACATCTGATTTTTTTTTTGGAAAGTTTATTCACCTATTTCCTGTTTTATAAAAGTACATTTTTTATAACTTCAAAAACATTTAATTTACTTTTTTCCTACTTTTATTTCTTTCCTTTTTTTATTTTTATTTTTTATTTTAATCCTAAAACAGGCTCATTGTGCTCCTGATTTATGGTAGAAAATCACTGAATGCTCACATGGATTTATAGGCTTTCTTATATTGCAGCTTTATATTGTGTTGAACACTAGTTTATTTTTATTTTTTTAATTAAATCTCATTTAATATTTCATTTATTTATGATTTATTTACTAGGTATTAATCCCTGTTTATAATCCAATAAACAGAGAGAGAGAGAAAGAGAACCACTCAGAGAGAGAAATTAGGGGAAAATAGACTAGGAAATTTATTTACTAGCTATCAATCAGTGTTTATAATGCTCAATATCAAGCTCCAATAGAGAGAGAGAGAGAGAAAGACAACCACTGATAGAGAACCATCTCAAAGAAATTAGGAGAAAATACATCAGAGAAAAAAATAGATAGAGATAAGTATAAAAAATCCCCAAATTTAACCTCTTGAAAAAAATTAGAGAAAATAGATTAGAGAAAAAGAAAAAAATTAGAGAAAATAGATTAGAGAAAAAGAAAAAAATTAGAGAAAAATAGATTAGAGAAAAATGAGAACCGTATGATAGAGAGCACTTTCAAAGCACATATTCAACATTAACTATAAAAAATCCTGAAATTAACATAGATAAAAAATCCCCAAAATTTAACATAGCTCAAAGAATATTACATTGAGGCAAAATAAATTAGGGAAAAAATAGGGCTTTTCTCTAAACCTAATTCAACAATCTGTCCGCTTCAAAAAAAGACAGTACTATCTGAGTTCTACGCAGCCGCATCCATCTGAAAAACCTCTACTCTTCCGTGCTACTCTCTCAGAGATCCGTCGTCACCCCTTCTCTCTTTCTCTGTGTTCATCTCTCTCTCTCTGCAACTACTTCTCTCTTCTCTCTCTCTCCGCTCCATTTTTTCTATTAAAAACAATAGCTTTTTGGGAAAACGATACTTAACTTTTTGGGTAAGTACAACACGTGTCATAAGCACACGGGTAAGTACCTCTAAGTTTGGAATTCAACAACATGACCAAATTGTTAGTATGGTGCACAAGCACAAGCTTTGAATTACATGACTAAATGGTTAGTATGGGAATAGCTTTGAATTTGGAATTCAAATTAACATGATTAAATGGTTCATTGTGGCGCATAACTAATGGTGCATAGTTAGCATAGTTAACTTATCCGTTTTTTTCACTCCGACTTGTTTTAGTCTAGTATGATATATTTGCGATATTTTTATATAAAGTATTTTTGTCAATTTATATTTTTTATTTTATTTTTTTATCTAATTTTTAAAAATAAAAATGATTTATTTCTGATTTTATAGTGACCCGATATATTGATACTCTCCGACTTGCAAACTATGATTCGGATTGAGATTTAGAGATAGAGAAAAAGTTAGAGAGCGAGTTTTTCGTCTGAAATGTTAAAATAAAAACGATTTATGTCCGATTTTATATTGAGTCGATATATTGATACTCCTCGACTTGCTAACTATGGTAGTACTCCCCGACTTGCTAACTATGGTAGGGATTGAGATTTAGAGAGAGAAGGTTTTTGTTTATTTTATTAAGTTTTTTATTCTTGGGATTATTTATGGTAATTGAATATAAGAAATTATCTCTTTTATTTTTTTCAGTTCTCTTAGACTTAGGGTTCTACCCAAATTTACTTTAATCTTTCTTTTATGGGGATTTTTCAAAAAAATTTCTTTTCCATCATGTTGAATCTCACAATCAAGAAATAAATAAATTATTTTTGAGTTTTATTTTCTGTTGGACGAAAATGTTTATCAGGAAATTTATGCAGCCCCAGATAAAATTTTTGACTTCAAACATTAAAAAAAAAAAATAATAATAATAATAATAATAACTAAACTCTACACCCCTGTTTTTGTTTTCTTTTTTTTTTTTGCATTCATTGAATAAACTAATGAGTAGAAAAAATAAGACGATTAGAATAGGAGATTCCCATATTATTAGATTTCCATAATTTATATGTCAAATAAAGGGAAAGCGAAAAGTAATTATCTTAACTTTTTCAATTATAGAAGTCCATAGCATATGCGATATACAGACTCAACCTGTCAAATTATAAATAAATTTTCAAAATTCTCTTTTTTAATGTAACTTAGTTTTCAAAGTTTTTATTATAAGTTGACAAACACACTTTTCCAATTATAAAAATTCATAAACTAAAACATATAATATTTTCTATTTCTAAACCCGTGACCACTTTAAACTTATTTTTTAACCTAAACAAATGTGAAAAAGACATACTATTTTTAAACCCAATCTTTTCTCTCTCTTCACTTATATATCTCAAACTTCTCTCTTTCTCTCTCTTCATGTGTCCCTCACTCTCTCTCTCTCCTCCCGTGTTTCTCCAAACACCTCTCTCTTTCTCTCCTCCCGATAACCTCTCACCTCCATGAATCCCTTATCTCTCTAGAAGTTTGGGAGGATGGCTTTTAAAAAATGTATACCTTTTTATATTTGTTTGACCTAAAAAAAACAGGTTTAAATTAGTTCAGGGGGTTAGAAGAAATAAAATTTACAATTTTTATGCCCCAAAATATCTTTTAAAACCTTGAGTCTATTATGAAATGAAACTTAAAACTAAAAGGTATGGAGATATTTTCCCTTTATTTTAACGAAAATTTATGTCTCTACCACATATAAAAAAGTTTATTATGCGGAGGTTCAATTTTTTGTATATGTTATGTGGAGGTTCTGCCTGTGGATTTTTTTTTTCCAACTTTGCCCCCAATCAGGTGTTTTCAAAGAATGGATCGATTACTAATTTTATCTTCTTCTTTTTCAAGTTTAGGATTGTCCGATAGGCCGAGGGGCCATCTTGGGGTCGGTCTGATGCTTGAAACATGGACCAACCTAAAGATTGGGGTACTATTACTAAAGAATTCTAGAGAGAGAAAATGAACTTTTGATAATATAATTGTGCCTCACATTGATTTCTTACAGTGGTTCTTTCATTGTATATATAATAGTAATATAATGGTATAATATGCACTTTCCTATCTTATTACATATAATATACACTTTCCTCTACAATGGTAATATTTCGATATACACTTTCCAGCTTGCTATACATTCTACAATGGTAATATTTTCTTTGTATTACTCCCCCTCAAAACTAGCTACATTTGAAACCCGAGTTCAAAAAACATCTCGTGGCAAAGGCTTGGTAAAGATATCAGCTATTTGATTACTAGAAGAAACAAAATGAGTGATAAGTAATCCAAAACCAATATTTTCACTCACAAAATGATAGGCTAACTCAATGTGCATTGTTCGTGTGTGAAAAACATGATTAATTGTCATGTAGAGAGCACTAATACTGTCACAAAAAAGTGTTGGATGCTGAGGAAAAGGCAACCCAATATTCCAAAGCATAAAAGAAAACCATGTCAATTCTGCAACAGTGGATGTCATAGATAGGTATTCCACTTCAGCACTAGAAAGAGCCACAGTCGATTGTTTCTTAACACTCAAAGATATGCAGTGGGAACCAAGATAAGTGTAGAAACCAGTGGTGGAATGACGAGTGGTTGGACATCCAGCTCAATCTGCATTAGAGAAGACATATAACTCAAGGGAACTAGCAAATAAGATTCTTATACCACATAATTGTAAACCATTGAGATAATGAAGAATCCGCTTAACTGCCTGAAAAGTGCAATTGTAGGGGCATGCATAAATTGACATAGTGTATGAATAGTATAGGAAAAGTCTAGTTGTGTTATGGTAATGTATGGAAGTACACCAACAATACTCCGATAAAGACATCGATCAGGAAATGGATCAAAATTCCTATTAATAGTATTCTTTATTGCCATTGGTGTTGAAATAGGTTTGGCACCGAGCATCTGAGCACGATCAATAAGATCTCGAGCATATTTGCTTTCTGAAAGAAAAATCCCACCTGAAAAATAAGATACCTTTATACCAAGAAAGTAATGAAGAGGTCCAAGATATTTCATTGCAAATTCCCTTCCTAGTTGGGAAATGAACCATTCTAAAATATTTGAGTTATTATCAATAATAACAATATCATCAACATAAAGGAGAAGGATAATAGTGCCTTTAGTAATGCAAAAAATAAATAGAGATGAATCTACAATGCTACAATAAAACCCCAATAATAATAAATAGCCACTAAATCGATCAAATCAGTCCCAATGTGCTTGCTTGAGATCATATAAAGCTCTTTTTAATTTGCAGCCATGATTTGGATCTTTTGAGCTTACAAATCTATGAGGTTGTTCCATAAACACAGGTTCTTTAAGAAAACCATGCATGAAAGCATTTTTCACATCAAGTTATTCGATATGCCAATGGCGCACAATAGCTATGGTGAACACAATTCGAATACTAGCAGGCTTAATAACAGGACTGGATGTTTTAGAGAGATCTTGTAACCATGTGATGACGATGATACTTAGAGACTGATAAAAAATTAGATTGATTTGTTTTTGGAGCAGCAACATTTTCATTACCATGGTTGTGCATTGCATCATCCTGGACATTTTGATTTGGTGTTTCAGTGGTGACATCTCCCTCTTCAAGAGAAGTTGGAGAGCTATCACTCGTAATGAGTAAAGAAGACCCGAGGGACCTATACATCAAGGGCATCCCGTATGGGTGGTTCAAGTGGAATTGATGAATGAAAGAGAAAGGAGCATGTACGACAGGCACACAACAATCGGACCATCATGCATAGGTGGATTGCTCCCCCTGAACCTGAGCACTATCAAACAAGGAATTTGAGTTAACATAAGGAAATATATTTTCATCAAATACAACATGTCTAAAGATATAGACGCGTCTTGTGGGTGGATGTAGACATTTGTAGCCCTTATGTTGGACTCTATAGCCCAAGAATAAACATGGAAGAGAACATGTACTAAATTTGTTTGCAACATAGTTTCAAAGATATAGAAAACTTCGACATCCAAATACTCGAAATGAGGAGTTATCTAGTAAGTGTCTAAACAATCATGAGTATAGTGAATCCATTTTTAAACTGGTAGAGGAAATTCCGTTGATAACAAATACTGCAGTATGAAAGACTTCAACCCAAAATCTTTTAAGAATTCATGCATGAAACATCATTGTAAGGCTCAATTCTACAATATTTCGATGTTTTCTCTCAACTATTCTATTTTTCTCAGGGGTTCCCGGACATGATAATTATTGCACGATACTATTGTCATTAAGAAGGTCAATAAATTCTTTCTTAGCAAATTCACCACCTCCATCACATTGAAAGGCTCTAATTCTTTTATTAAACCTCCTTTCAACCATATGATAAAATTTTATAAATGCAACGAAAAATTCAGATTTTCATTTCAAATGATAAATCCAAGTAAAACGAGCGTAATCATCAACGAACATCACATAAAATCGATAAATTTAATTTGATAAAATTGGAGCAGAGTCCCATAAGTCTGAATGAATCTTAAAGAGACGTTCAATAGAGGTTTTATCAACAGCATTAAAAGGAAGCTTACAACTTTTTCCCATCTGATAACTAGCACAAACAAAATGAGATTTATTCTATGCATCAATATTAATCAATGATTTAGATTCTAAGTAACAAATAACTTTATTTTGACGATGTCCAAGACGTTGAAACCATACATCTGCTGGTGTTCTTTTATTTCGATTAGAGAATAAAGCTTGTTTCACTTCTTCAAGTACATATAATCCTCCATTTCTACTCCTGTTGACCAGAGTTCGCCATGTGCTCATTTTCTTAATCAGAAAACCATTTAATGAGAACTCAAATATAAAAGGGAAATTTGTTGTACATTGACTAACATACAACAAGTTCTTTTTCATTTCAAACACTAAAAGAACATTAGAAACATTGAATTTTCTAGATCCAATAGCAATATTTGCATCACCAACATGTGAAATAGTTAATTGTTTACCATTCCCCATCATGATTGTATTTGTGCCTCTAAAGGGACGAAGATTTTGCAACTTACTTGGATCTCCTGTCATATGAGTGGAGGTACCAATGTCCGGGAACCATTCAGAGTCTTGTGAATCAGCTATAGTCATTGCAGCAAGGGCCTGAGGAATATCTTCTGATTGGTACATGTGGTTGAATCGATGCCAACACTTGAATGCAACATATCCAAGTTTCCCACAAATTTGATACTTTTTCTGAGGTGTCTAGGTAGATTGTTGTAGCTGGGAAACTTGTTGGAAACCTTGACCCATAGGTCGCATCAAAAGTATACCACTACTTTCTTGATTTTTCTGGGTCATCCCACGACCACCATTAATGATCTGACTAGTTTGAACGAAACCACGTCTTTAAGAGTTGAAGAACTGTTGACCACCAAAGTTGTTTCTCGCTCTTCCTCTGTAATTATGGTTACCTCTGTTGGGTCCAAAAAAAATTTGTTGTCCAACAAAGGCCATATTTTGATTTGGATATGAGTGTTCGTCAGAGACATATGATTGATTTCTAATCTCATGACTTTGAAGAAGAGGTATAATTTCAAAATATGAAGGAATCAGAGGCTTAAACATAGTGGTAACAAAACTCTCATATTTTGGACCAAGTCCATTAAGAAGTCAAAATATCTTATTTTCATCAGGCACAGGTTTTCCAATAGCCACGAAATCATCACAAATACTCTTGAATTTACATATGTATTCTTATAGGGTTGAATTCTCTTTCTTGCAAATTTGGAGTTGCTTGGTAAGTTGAAACCCCTTAGCTTGAGAATTACCTGCATAGGCATTCTTCAGGCATTTCTAAACTTCTGCAGAAGTCTTGAGGCCGACAACAAGGTTAAGACACTCTTCTGATATTATCGCTATGATCCAAGTTTTAAAATGACGGTCAGACTTTAGCCATAATTTGTAATCTGGGTTTTCAATTTTACTCTTACCATCAAAAGAAGAAATTTTTTGACTTGGTTTAGGGCAATCACCATTAATGAATCCTAAAAGCTCCTGACTCTCAATGAGGGAGAGCATCTAGGTTTCTCATAATAAATAATTATTTTATGTCAATTTAATAGATACAAAATCTCCTATATTAAGGGTAGAGGGATAAGGATATTTGTTTGATGAGGATGAAGAGTCCATTGGAGTAGAGAGATTTTCAATGATAGAGAGTACTTGAATTTTTTTTTGTTTGGAGGTTTCGGGTGCGTAAGAGTGTGGGTTTTTTTAATAAATGGACGCATCATTTATTGTCCCATTCTTTGACCTTATTAGTTTTGGCTTGCTTTTGGAAATCTTTGGGAATGGATTATGTGGATATGTAATCTCATTGCTCTATACTGCGTTTATTTGGAAAGGGTTGGGATCTTGTTTTCCTATTGTATGATATGTATTATTGAGCTGCTGGAGTTGAAAGACAATAACTCAATCAATTAATAAGCCACCCACTTCTTTAAATGTAAACAAAATATATGTTACAATTCAAGCCATTACAACACTGTTTCAACATCATATCAACAACAATAACTGTTTCATGAGTTGCAAGACCAACTCTTAGTCATATCAAACACTATTCAATAAATGTAGAGCAAAAACAAACATATTCATTACACACAAGAAAAATAGAAACTGTTGCATACGCCATAGGCATCAAGAATTTGTTGTTGCATGACCGGTTCAGGCTTGAACATAAGATGCTCTTGTGATACTTGTGACTGATTTTTTTGTTATACATTACGATTCTTGAAGTTTATATTGTCGTTCATCCCTTCCATATAATCACAGCACCACTGAAAAAAAGTGCAGTTTGGACACTGATAGAACATTCTTTCAGGATTGGATGGGGAGCTTGATGTACATAAAGTACATGCTATGTCGCACCACGGAAAGGTACGTCGTGGATATCCTCCCGCATTTGTAGAAGCTATGTCGCACCGCGGACAGGTACGCCGTGGATATCCTCCAACTTTTGTAGAAGCTGATGACTTCCTGGCTGGTTCAAATGTCTAGACTTGCATCCCAATTTTATAGAGGAAATAAAGTATATTCATTGCGTATTAAAGTATATCCCATATGAAAACACAAAGTAGTGGTAAACTCATAATACTCACAATTAAGGAGCAATTAAAAAAGATTCAAAGTTTAACTCAATTAAAAGGAAATTAGATTTACAAGCAGCAAAGATACATGATGATGCATCATAGAAACGAAAATTACCACCTATGGAACCCACAATTCAAAGTTTAGGTAGGGACTCCATTTGTAAAATTAGTGCTTTGGCCAATAGAGAGTTTTCATCATCCTTACCTGCATGTACATTATGTTCTCCCTGAATAAAACCATTTCAGTGGATGGTAACTCAGTTCATCCTCCACTCTTCAGCCTTATACCTTGGAGTTTAGTTTCAAGTTTCACAAAATTCCAATAATATCTTGAGAATCATTATATAAATCAATAACTATATATGGCAACAGTTTTGAAAGGATAACATATAAGCTCTCTTAATCTTTCTTACTAATAGACTTTTGAAGGTCCCTACCAGGTAAATCAACTATTCGCTTAATGCATACCAATGTTAAGTTTAATGAGTATTTCAAAATAATATAAGAATGAGGAGTTGTAAGAGAAATTGGAGCAAAGTACCTAAAAATGCATTTTCCTTCCATGCCTTGATCAATAGGATAGGATCGATTGCACTGGATCCAAAAAAAATACAACAGCTAGCATATATTAACGAAATGGTGATGAAATAAAGGATCTCAATAACACCCAAAATGTAAAACTCATATCAAACCCTAAGAAACACACCAATGAAATCATAATCATTGTAAAAGCTCAAAAATCAAAAGAGAGCACAATGAATAGATCATCTAAAAAAAAATCCTAAACAAATGGAGCTTCCCATACCTAGTTCAGAATATAATCGAAGCTCTCGGTGTGAGCGAGAGAGGGTTCTGCTGCTGCTACTTCTGCGATGATGGAGAGGGCTCTGCTACCGCTCCTTCTGCGTGAGGGAGTGTGATGGAGAGAGCGAGAGGGTTGGGTTGTGAGGAGAGAGGGAGGGCTTCTGCGTGAGCGACAGAGAGATCTGTGAGGAGAGAAAGAGGACTTATACGAGAGAGAGAGAGAGAGAGAGAGAGAATTGTGAGGGGAGAGAGAGGGCTACTGTGTGAGAGATAAAGATCTGTGAGGAGAGAGAGAGGCCTGATGTGTAGAGAGAGAGGAGTGTCGTGTTGAGAGAGAAGGCTTTGCCATTTCTGTTAATCTCTCTGTCAGATGTCGTTGGGCTTCTTATTTAGTAGAAAACGTATGGGTTTGAATTTACGCCGTCCCTTTTCATCCACCAAAGTCGGGCAAATCTCAGTTATAGATGTATTTATCAAAACAATCATTATTTTTTATTAAAAATTATTTAAATAGGTAATTTCACCATCAAGCAAGAACAAATTTAAAATTTTTACAAAACTACATTGACATTTTACAATTTAGTATTATGAAACTTTATTTGTAAGATGTTCTTGACCTTTAGTTAAAATTTCAACTTGACCCCTTACAGAGATGACAAAAGTAACATTTGTCTTGTAGTAATATTTACAAAATTGCCCCAAAAAAATAATATTTTTTAAAAAATAGACTACAAAATTAATAAATCCACCATTCATAACTCTCTCTATCTTGAACCTTTGTAATTTGAAAGGTTGTAAAGTTTAGATTATCCCATTATATAATGAAAAAAGTTTATATAAAGTTGCAACCTTAAAATACATATGCATCCTAAAAATCCATCGAAAAATGTTGTTTTAATGTTTTTCAACTATCTAATTAGTCATCTCGACATCGAGATATATGAATATAAATAATAATAATAAAAATTTGAGTCCCAAAATAGTGCATCTTGCAACACATTATCTAGACCGTCCATTTTGAATATTTTCATATGTTTATAGATCTACTTGATTTTAATCATTATTGGAGTTTAAAATTTCATAATTACGTATAAAAAAATAATTTCATATAATCCTAAGAATCTTTTACAACAAAATTACATTGGAGGTGTGCCTTTCTTATAGAAACCTCACCCTTATATAATATGTAATATATATGGGAAAAGTGTATATAGAGCCGAGGCTCTAAACTATCAAATTAGAGTCTACCTCAAAATTTTCATTAGAAGAGGTTGTTTTAATGTGCAAATATCCTCAAATTGATCATCTCGACATCAAGATGCATGGACATGAGAACAAAAATAGATTTCAAAGTTTTGGAAATAGTCTATTTTGTAACACCACCTTTTATCATCAATTTTCAATATTTTCAAGTTTACATAGATCTTCGATTTGTACTATTTTTTAAGCTTTAAACTTTATAAATAAAGATTAAAATGTCTTTTAAGGCTATCACAAATATTTAGAGTATTGAAACCACATTTCTCGACACTGTTTGAAGGGAGGCTCTAATTTGATTGTTTAGAGCCTAAGCTCTATACAAACGGCACCCAATATATATTAAAGGAAAAAAGCTCTTAAAATGTAGAATTAAAGATGCACCTCAAAAAATTATCGGAAAAAATTGTTTTAATGTTAAAAACACTCTGATTGATTATCTCGGCACCAACATGTATGGATATGAAAAACAAAAAAAAAAATTTGAGTCTCAAAGATAGTGCATCTTTCAACACATTATCTAGACCATCCAATTTCAAGATTTCCATAGATTTAAAGATCTACTTGATTTTAACTATTTTTTAAGTTTAAAATTTTATAATTAGATATAAAAATAAATTTTCTAATAATCCTCCGAATTTTTTATACCTTTATAATAAAATTTGGAGGTGAGCCATTGTTTAAGGTTACAACCTTACATAAACCACACCCTATATTAAATAAACAATATGTAATAATATTTCTTTTATACTATATTATATAATATAGTTCCATAGAATCATATATTCTAAATATATAATATCTTAATATGTATATTATCAATTGTTGCCGTAGACGTGAAATTTTATATATATAACAATATGTATATGTATATTATCAATTGCTGATGTGGACATGAAATTTTATACTATAATAATATTTTATGATATAATATAATATTATTTGTATAATATAATAAAATAATAAAATATAATAAAATATGCAGAAGTCTCATTTTCTTGCCGTATAAATCGGCAGACAACTAAAGGAGAGAGAGTGGGGGGAACTTTAATTAATTCTCAAGGAGAGAGAGAGAGCATTTCTTAATCAGAAAGATAGGTCATATTAGCAATATAATTAGGAGAGACGTTCTAAACTAAAAAACCAACCATGCCACGTGGTGCAAATTTACCAAAAAAATGGACCAGTGATGGGTCCCACATAAGCACCATCTGGTGGGCCCACACAATATTCAAATTCCTAAATCCATGGCCGAGGAGTAAGACAAAAATGGTCCCACTTAGAAGTTTGAAACCCCTCAGCAATTCCCTTTTGCTCTTTCACCAATCCATTCTCTCTCTTCTCTCTCTCTCTCTCTCTCTACACTACTACCAAACTCTCTCTCTCTCTAGTAGTTGACTACCACTGCACTACTTCCTCTCTCTACTAACTTGTTCTTACTTTCCTTTCCGTTACTCCTCTCTCTCTCTCTCTCTCTTCATCACTACCTTCTTCTTTCTTTATCTCTCTAACTACTCCCCAACCCTTTCAACCTTTTTTTGGTACATCTTTAAACTCTCTCTCTCTCTCTAGAAACTGGTCCATGTCTTTTAAGCAATATAAATAAGACCAATTGTTTCATGCGGGCTGGACCGCATTGGTACAATATGCAGTCCAAAGCTATAAAGTATTCATCTTAAAAATAGATGAAATAGGTAGTCCATCTAAAAACAATTGAAACAAAAAACCCAAATTTTTTTTAATATATTTATTTTTTAAAATTTTTTAATTTTATTTATTTTTTCACATTCATGATCTCCTTATTAAAAATCATTTATTTTCTAAAAAGAAAAATATTTCATACGGGCTGGACCGCATTTCTATATATGCAATTCAGAAATTGTAAAGCACATCCATCTTAAAGATAATACAAGTAGGTGTTCCATTTAAAAACAATAGAAACTAACGGTCCAAATATTTTTTTACTAGAATTATTATTTATAGTTTTTAAAATTTATTTATTTTTTATATTCATGATCTCCATGTTAGAGATTATGTGTCCTAAGAAATTAAGTCTTAAAATTCATGTCAAAAATAAATTTATTAAGAGACCTACATTTTCTACATATAAGGGTTTGGCCGCCTAGAAATCGGTTCCTTTCTCAAAATGAAAAACGAATAATATTTTAAAACTATATTTATTACCAAGCCTGCATTTCTACATGTTCGAGCTTGGCCGCATGCTAATCGCATCCAATAAAATAAAGGCATCTCTTTCTCTCTCTCTGGAAACTGGTCCCCATGCCTTTTAAGCAATAAAATAAAGGCAGGGACATCCTTTCACTTTCTACTAATTTCTTTAAGTCTCTGTTCCATGGTGAGGAATTTCTTTACAAATAAAAAATCATTTCAGAAAGACCAGCTGCTCTATCTTCTGCAACAAAAAGCCGCCTCCTCATCATCCATGAAAGATACTGCTCTTCCATCCTTACTAACTCACTTCCCTTTGTATACACCCCCACTGGGTTCTCACAAACTTATACGCCTCTCTATAGTCTCCTCTGGTTCTCTCTTCTCACCATAATCTTCCCCCCGAACTTCTTTCCTCTCTTCATGTAGGCCACCTGTGTGCTCTTGTAATGGGCGCAATGAGCTATATAATGATTGTGCATATTTGAATTAACCCACAGAGGCAAATTATGAACCGTAGAGTGAATTGATTGGACTTGTAACTTTCCTTGATGAGCCATATAGATGAGGACACGGTTTTTATGTAGCCAGCCTGCATATTATAAAAATTGGGGCATGGCAATAAATATATTTTTTAAATATAATTTGATCTTAATTTTTAAAGAATATATAATCTTTAACATGGAGATCATGAATATGAAAAATAAAAAATAAAAAAATAAAAATAAAACTATAAATAATAATTATATTAAAAAACATTTGGATCAGCTACACTTGTTTTTTGATGGACCGCCTATTTGTATCAATTTTTAAGATGGATGCTTTATACCTTTGGAATGAATACGTATTATAGAAATGCCGTCCAGCCCGCATGAAACAATTTTTCTATAGGTAATCATTGAAAGTCAGGTGTGGGCCGGTATAATTGCCACATCAAGTGAAGCACAATTATTATGTTCAAGCTATTAGGCCCTAATGGCTATTACAATGAGGGTGAGTGCGATTTTATAAAAGGCGACAGTGGCGCGGTCATGTTGCTTATTTGGAAAGAGAGAAGCTCTAAAATATTTGAGAATAAAATAAAGAAAAATATATGATGAGACCATTTACTTTTGGTACAATGTAGTCACAATTAAGCTTGACCATTAGATGTGAAATTGGGTGGATGCATTTATTTCATTGACCAAGCTCAAAGTACAAAAAAAAATTTCTCGAACTTTACTACACATGCAAGCTATTAGATTTCATATCAGATAGTTGTAAGTAATTGTGACCTTTTTATACCAAAAGTAAATAATCTCATTATACACATTCCTAAAATAATGACGATGACCTAATAAACAATGCCATTATCCACAAGGCATAGGCGTACATGGCTAGAAAGATGTCCCAAAGGAATATTTGCAAACTAATTTTAGTCACTTGCTAATGAAGCGGAGTTAAGGCATAGGCGTACATGGCTAGAAAGATGTCCCAAAGGAACATTTGCAAACTAATTTTAGTCACTTGCTAATGAAGCGGAGTTGCTTAGTCTCAAATTTTGTGTTATTAAGCGTGGTAGCCAATTTCATGTGTCACCCAAGGAAGGACACAGTTTTTATGAATCACCTCTTAAAAATCTATTTTTGAGATGTATTTTTTGACTTAACTTTTAGGACATATAAACTTTAACATGGATACCGTAAATATGAATAAATAAATAAATTTTAAAAATTAAAAATAATAATTCTATTAAAAAAACTTTTAGAC